GCAATAAAAATGCGGAATGGATTTTCCATTAGGGTCTCTGGGCCCAAATACACTACTCTCTGGGAATGGAATGAGAGCCCACGGAGTGGAATGACAGCCCCTAGGAGTAACAGAAGTGTTCTAGGACTGGAATTGAGGGCCCACTGAGTGGAATGACAGCCCCAGGGTGTAGCAGGAGTGTTCAGGGACTGGAATGAGAGACCAAGGAGTGGAATGACAGCCCCAAGGTGAAACAGGAGTGTTCTGGGCCTGGGATCACAGGCCACAGAGTGGAATGACAGCCCTAGGGTGTAGCAGGAGTGTTCTGGAACTGGAATGAGAGACCACGGAGTGGAATGACAGCCCCAGGGTGGAGCAGGAGTGTTCAGGGACTGGGATGAGAGACCACGAAGTGGAATGACAGCCCTAGGGTGGAGCAGGAGTGTTCAGGGACTGGAATGACAGGCCCAAGAGTGGAATGACAGCCCCAGGGTGTAGCAGGAGTGTTCTGGAACTGGAATGAGAGACCACGGAGTGGAATGACAGCCCCAGGGTGTAGCAGGAGTGTTCAGGGACTGGGATGAGAGACCACGAAGTGGAATGACAGCCCTAGGGTGGAGCAGGAGTGTTCAGGGACTGGAATGACAGGCCCAAGAGTGGAATGACAGCCCCAGGGTGTAGCAGGAGTGTTCTGGAACTGGAATGAGAGACCACGGAGAGAGACCACGGGGCTCGCCAGCTCTGAGTTGGGAAATACCTGGAGATTTTTGTGGTGGAGCCTGAGTGGTGGATGTTGCCTTCTGACACACTTCCGATGATGTTAGGGGGTGTGGCATATGCTAATGAGTTATGCTAATGAGCTCCTGCAGCTCTTTTTCTACGAAAAGACCCCTGAATAAATATATTGGATCTAACCAGCTTCTCCACTGGTGAAAAGGTGAAGAAGGATCCCCTTTGATCACCAAAAAGACTAAGGTCATGAGACCTGCATGGACAAAAGTCATGTGCCGCAAGAACTATAGTAAGGAGGAGTACTGTACTAAGTTGGGATTGAGTGAAAAAGCTGGGGAGATCCAACCTGTAATATGCTGTTAGACAAAAGTAGGCATCAGAATTCTGCATTCACTATAACTTCTGATCAGTCTTCAAGGAAGCCTTGTTTAGAATTTGTTACAGAAAACTACAGCTTACCTATGCATAAATAAGGGTGGTCACAGTCATACCCCTGAACAAAATGCACAGCCATTATAGCAGATGTAACTGATAAAAATACTATTGGTCACACCCACTATTTGGACACCTAGAAGCAGAGCATATCCTGGACACTGGACACAGCTCCAGGGAGCACCATAAGGCTTCCTTATTGTGCAGCTCTTCCCAGTAAAGCTGCTTGAGGGGGACAGATGCCCTTCCCATGTATGACAGTCTTCTTACTTCACTCCCCTCCAAGTAGCATGACCGAGAATTAAGCCCCCCCACACACCTGTTAAAGAACTGCACCCCTCCACAAAATGAGTTCCTGATGGGAAGGACACTTGCCTGGGAAGAAACAAAGATCAGTGTTTTCTTCCCCTGCTTCCTCACAGCATTGTAACGTTTTCATGCACCTTCCTGGTTTTCCCCATTCTAAAATGGAATTATGAAGAAGACCGTTTCATATCAGTTGCTATGACTGATACTTTTCTCATTGTTTCCAAAAGCTGTTGCAAGCCATCCTGTTATTAGTGAGATTTGTATGGATTGAGAATGTTTTATTTCAAATGTGGTAGTTTGAATAACTCTTTATCTAATGGTATGTTATCAGTGCAATCTTACTTTCAGTGGAATTTATTTCCAAGTAAGTCTGTTTTGGGTTGCATGCCTATAACCTAGACTCGAATCTAATTGACTTCATTTTGGTCTAATCATGCCAAATCAAATAAAACATTCCAACCTAATTTTTTAAAAAATTCTTGTTTATCTGAAAGGGGTAAAGGATGGCAAGTACCGGACTAAAAAATCATTTCTGGCATGCATCATGAGTAGCTTGGAAAGATATACCATTTTCACCTATTCGTGCTGTGGCTTGAAGTAAAGAGAGTTTACTTGCGTCTACTCCATCTCTAATGAGTAGGTTTTCATATGTCACAAAGCCACATTCAGTTTAGCACAATTGGAAGTCAATTGGATGGCCCAGGAGTGAGTTACCATGGAGATGGGAAAGATAAACACTACTGTACTTCTGACCTCCAAGGAAGCTGATTTCTCTAAATGACAGTTGAGGTCAAGGAGGCAGTGTTGGAGGCTTATTCCACTCAGGCCTCTTCTACATCTGTCCCATGGATAAGAAAGCCTATTTCTAGCCTAGGCAGTCCATTAACCTTCACAGGCCCGAACTTTCACTCAAGTATATGTCAAATATAGGTATGGTCTAAAAAAAAATGACTGGTACTAGATGCCTTCAGGTAACCAAACATGAATTCAGGTCTCCTGCTTTATTTGGTAACAAAATAATTCATTTCTGTTTAATTGGACAATGTTTTCCCTTAAGTAAGAAACAGGAATTCCTTAGGTAATGGATAGCTGGGCAAATATAGATGAAGGTAAACAAATATATCACTATTATCTCATTTTTATGCCTAGCTGGGATCTGGATTGCCTTGTGTTTATTTGCATTGATCATCAGGTTAAAGTTGCATTTAATCATTAGGATAATCAATAAAGCTCACATAATGGGTAATGTGGACCACTGAACATTTCAACATGCTTCACAGAGAATGTAATCCATATATGTGGCAAAAGGCAAAGCCTGAGTAATATTCCTCTTTACTCAGTAAGTTTTAACAAATGGCATCCTAAAAAAATAGATGCCACCTGTGAAATGGCAAAAACACAGGAAACACCTTTCTGTAAACCTTTCTGAATTTCAAGAGATTCAAAACTGAAGCATTCTTATTGAAAGTAAAAAAAAATCAACTTTCAGTACTGGCAATGTTCGGCTTTACTTTCCAAATACTTAAGGGCACTTAAGTATTCTTAGGAGGGTGGCTGTGATTTTCACCAATTCCCCACTCCCTTTCAGACCGCACTATACTGTTCTTGAAGGTCCACTGATCCCTAGTAAATGAAATCTTGGGGTGGGGTGGGGGAGCTCCGTAGGCTGGGGAAATTGCCAGAAATCACTACACCCTCTTAAGAAAACTTAATGGCACATGTTTTCTTATGCAGTTGGCTACAGGATGCTGACTTGCTCCTAAACACAAGATATTTTTTGGGGGGGGGACTTTGCAGCAGCACTGAGTGGTGATTAGTACTTTTTTCCCTTTTCTTTTTTTAGGAAAAGGTTACTGGTTCAAACCCATTCAATAGGAACAGTAAATGCATAACATGGGTTTCAAACACGCATGTGCTAATGTTTGGGAAACATGATTAAGGCAGAGTTCCCTGATGTTACATTTGGAAACATAGATACTGCAGTTTTTCCTAAGGACCCCAACACAAGGAGCTCACAAATCATTATAATGTAGCCCAGTAATGTCTTGATTTATCAGTTAAGAGCTAAGAAATAAAAGGTCTAGTCCAACCCTTTCCCCCTATAATCCTTCTGTCCTCCTTTGTGCTAGGTATACTTCCTGAACTATGCTTTTCAGAGACTCTTCTACCTCCTTCCTGCAGGTATCCAGTACTGCTCCTCCCCAGCCCCCTGGGACACAGGCTTCCAGGAGCAAGACTAGTACTGCACATGAAGTCTGATTATTTATGCATGACAACCTCCACTTACTATGAATGGCTAATCACATTGTTGTGTTTGGCTCAGTTGTACCAGACCCACTACAGGGACAGCATGGCATGATGCATGAATCAGAAATGCAGCAAAGCTTTACACTAAGTGATAGATTGGACTGTATATTTAAACATAATTATAGCATAATAATGTTCAAGGTCCTTAATATAAACATTTTCCTAAACAAGCATTTTCAGAGTGTGCATTGGCAAAGAATTAGAGCAGCTCCATGTATTATTATTACTGCTTCAAATGCTGTAGATGGCAAAAAAGTACACGCATCTTTACTAGAGAAAGGGGATGAAATGGGTCAAATTCCCAGAGCTGGATCCTAACAAGATTTCCACAGGCATGAGGCAGAATTATTTTAATCAGTTTCCTCCCCCCATGTCAGCCCTTCCCAATGCTGCTACTGGGGGGGGGCAACCTGGGAGGGAGCAACCTGGGAGGGAACCCCCCTCCACGGCCATGAAAATCTAGTTGGGATCCAAACCATACTATTTAAAAATATCTTGGCCTATGGTGTTGGGGGAGAACTTTGCCTGAAAGGTACAAAATAAATACAAAAACATTATTCTTTTTTTTTTTTCTAATTACAGCTTGAAGGAGATTTTAGTTTGGCTCAAGGCTTCTTGGCGCCTCCCAACTTGGATTACACAGGATACCACAAGTACATAGATGAAATGCTGCCCGCTGAAAGCCCTGTGCTCTATGGTCTCCATCCTAATGCCGAGATAGATTTCTTGACTATACTAACAGATAACCTTTTCAAGGCTATCTTGGAAATACAACCCAGGAACATGCTTGCGGGAGAGGTAGTAGGACAGTCAGCAGAAGAAAAAGTGAGATTATGCTTTTCTTCAGAATCCTTTGTTCCTTGTCTCCATTAATATAGAGCTTGCCATAAATAGTAAATTTCGATCACTGTTATCCCATAAAGAATGAGTCTGCCCACACTTAAAAGAGGAAGAAATGTTGACCACTCACATTACCTTGACCATTAGAGGGGGTTTTTTGTTAACCTTTTTCATGAAGGTGCATCTCCTCCCAGGAAGTCAGGTTTGGTTTTGGTGGAAGTATCTGATCCCTTTCTCTGGGAGATATAAGCTATTAGGTGACCACCTTCAAATTATTTTATTATTATATTTATATCCCACCCTCCCTGCTTTTGTGCCACATGATGAAAGTGCCACAGTCTTCACCCATGGATGCCTTCTCCACAGCTGGTAGCATCTCTCTATGGTAGAACAGAGTGCCCTTTCTCCACAGAAACACTCTCTTGTGCAAGTTGGACAGGCTTACACAAATGCTTATCATATTTGTGCCTTAACAGAATCCTGAGTAAGAGGCTGAAGCTCTGCTTTCTGCTAAAGAACAGAAGATTTGTCTTCACTTTCCATGATGCTTCCTTCTCGGTGGTCCAGGAGTGGGGCAGTCCTTGACTCCTTACTCCTGGGACTTAGCTCCTCCTCTCCAAAGGCAGGGCTGGCAGACTTTTTGATCCCGGAGGGAAGGGGCTTGATCCCTTGCTTCCCAGTTGTTTGCCAAGCCATTCTCCCCCTTCCATCCTGTACCGAATTGAAGAAACCACACACTTCCCCCCAACTGGGTACCATGAGTTAGGACCACTTTTTTATTTTTAAATGTCTACAACCCAACTCCAACCAACATACAACATTAAAAAATCAAGTGAAAGGACCCTGATGGGCCTACTCTTTGCCACCCCCCCCAGGATACACAGGCATAACCGTTGAAAAAGACCACCTGTACCATCCTCTCATAAGCACTAGAAGCCATAAACTGGGTGGGTAGGATTGCCCCACTACTCCCAGACCACCAAGAAAGAAGCTTCACGGTAAGTGAAGACAAATCTTCCCTTCTCTGCTGGTCCTGGGACCTTGACTCCTTACTCCTGGGACACAAAAAAGCAGTGCTACCCAGAGTGGGTCTGTTGGCTTCCAGTTCTTACAGGGCATGCAACAGAACTCTTTTACAGAACGCAGATTTCCAGGTGACTGCCCTACAAATAGTTTTCAGGGATGGGAATGCTCAATAAGCCACTGATGTGGCCATCCCCCTCAAAGAGTAAGCCGTTATTCCTGGGACTTGTAGGCCATGAGACTGCACCCTCTGATCCATCTGCTTAGGGTGGAAGTAGAAATGCCCTTACCTAAGGCTGACTTTCTAAATGAAACAAAGTTTCAGTTTGCCTCCAGCTCTTTGTCCTATCCAGATAAAAACTTATGGCTCTACGAACATCTAAGCAATGCTAGACCTTTTCCTTCTCATACCTGGGATTTGGTCAAAAGGAAGGAAGCACAATGTCCTCTGACCTGTGAAAGGTTGAGTTTACTTTGGGAATAAATGCTGGATCTGGGCGAAGCACAACTCTGTCATTATGAGAAATGCATAATTCCCTATTGATGGGCAGCGCTCTCAGTAAAACACAGGGAGGGGGAAACAAACCTGACCCCAAAACTGGAATCAAGAACCAAAAGGGTGAGAAGAAAGTCTAATGAAGGGCTAATATTAAAAACCTAGTTAAAACTTATAATATACAAAAATATAAGTATTTGTTAGAAAGACAGTTAAAAACATACATAAGGGCCCAATGAAAGCCTCATAAAAAAGTATAGCCTAAACACAAGGGCCAATACACATGACCTGACGTGTTTCTGCCCTATTGGGGCCTTCTTCAGAGGTCAAACAATATTGAGGTACACATAACTAAATAACATATTGCAATAAGATAACCAATAAGTGAATACTGGACCAGGAAGAGGAAGGTTAAGCAGCAAGATCTAAAGACAGATGACAAAGATGTTTGTGAGGCCACAAAAGGTGAAAGTCATGTGTCTGGTGCCAAATGCACAGTTGCTAAATTAGAACATCTTCCAATTTAGTTCCAAAAAGCACCTGTGTGGCTATCAAAGTCAGAACTAGAGTGTCCTCAAGCATTTGGCACCAGACACATGACTTTCACCTTTTGCGGCCTTTATGTATGTTTTTAACTGTCTTTCTAACAAATACTTTTATTTTTGTATATTATAAGTTTTAACTAGGTTTTTAATATTGGCCCTTCATTAGACTTTCTTCTCATGCTTTTGGACAGTGCTCTCAGTTCTGAGACCCTCCTAGCTGTGCTGGCGAAACAACTGAAATGGTTTTAGCCGTTTCAAGACTAAGTGATACAACAGAAGTAGCTACACGTGTATAGGAAATAGGTCAGCAAAATCTAGAAGAATTAAATAAGCAAACCTAGGAAGTTCTACAAGAAGTTGCTAAAGCAGTTAAAATACCTGATAAAGCACAACTGATTAGTGAAAAAGTGTCAGAAATAGCCATTCAGTCAATATCAGTAGAAAAAAGCAGGCAAGAAATTACTGTCATGATTCCAGGAGTTAAACTGGCTGACTCACCTTTAAAAGTAGAAGATCCTGAGAAGATTAAATCCAAACTAATGAAGGCACAGAAGGTGATCACAGTCAAGGTGAAGTTAAAGGAAGTGGTTTGAAGGAAGTGTTGGAGAAGAGTGAAGACTGGTGCTGAGGGGAAAGAAAGAGCAAAACAAAGTATAAATTTAGTCAGGGCTGATGAAAGTGAAACTGAACAAGAAAGACATGAAGAAATCACCAAAGAACAGACAACTGAAGAGAAATCTGAAGAGAAATTTTTTGTCTTTGTTATCATAACTGCTGGTGAAGAACCAAAAGTAAAAGTTGGTGAAACTATCAGAAAGCAACAACATATATCTTTAGAAGCAGTTTCAAAGGAAAAATATAGAGCTATTGAAGCAGTAGAGAAGACTAAAGTAATGGTGGAAATGAAACTTTCCCCAGAGATGGCAAAAGCAGAAATTCCTATGAAAAAGCAGCAGTTCTGATAGAAGAGGCAGAAGCAGAGATTCCTGCAGAAAAGGAAGGTGGAAAGGGGCATGTGGAGGCTTCTGCAGAGAGATCATATGTGGAAGTGGGGGCTCCAGCAAAAAAGGCTGATGTAAAGGTGGATGTGGATGCCTTTATAGCAAAAGTAGTTGAAGAGGCTTCTGCAGAGTAGGGAAAGAGGTTACAGAGTTCCATGCAGAAAAGCAGAGGTTGCCAAAGAGGTTGAAATGAAGCTTCCTGTAGAGAAAATGGATATGAAAAATCTTACAGAAGATACAAAACTGGAATCCCCCACAGATACAATTGAAGTCCTCACAGAAGAAGCAAAAGTAGATATTCCTTCAAAAATGGTGGATGCAATGGTAAATATAAGGACTCTCACAGAGAACATAGGCCCCTGCAGAGCAGTCAGAAGAAACATTGCAAGGAGAAGCTGCTTCCAAGCCAGCAGAGTAGAAGAAGAATTTGCAGAACTTGGAGGCCGAGGTCAACTTTCAATCTGAGATAGATGATACTATGAATTTCATAATTTCAACAAAAGTTCCAGTTTATGCAGATTTAGAGCAGGCACCTGTGGTAGGTGGCATACGTAGAATTCCAGTGCAGAGAGGGATGCAAGATGTTGCCAGTTCCTTTAAAGTAGAATATCTGGATTCTGTTGAATCTAAGGATCCTTTTAAGGTTGAGGTTAAAGATGCTGGTCTTTCTCCCAAAACAAATGAGCTAGGGGATGTCACCCTTGTCTTAGAATCAAAGTGCACAGAAGAAATTGTACCTGAGATCCCTGTGCAGAAGGAAAAAATTACACCCTTTATGAAGACTGAAGGAGAAGAATCAAAGAACATGGATAGTGCTGCATCTGAAGTCTTTGTGCAAAGGGAAAAGGAAAATATACTTACTTTAAAATCAATTTTTGCAGCAGCTGAATTAACTGAGAATGCTGTGAGAAATGAGGCAACAGTGGATTTTGTGGGAAGTGAGCTTGGAAACACACAACTAGCAAATCCAAACACACAGAAGCAGCAGTAACTGAGGCTGCTGCAAAGACTGAAGTAGAAGGAGACACCCTTTTCTCAGAGTCCAGATTCACAGAGAATTTCAGAAATCTGTCAGAAAGGACAAGTACTATTAGAGATGGTGTTGACAGTGGAAAATGACAAATTATCTGAAAACACTGAACTGCTAGTGGCAATGTGCTTTATGCAGGTCCAATGCAGCAACATCCAGCAACAGAAGGTTGTCACCACTGACATTGCTGAAATGCAAAGCTATGAAGCACATAAATCCTCTGTGCCAGTAACAGCTGCAGCTGTTGAAGAGCGGGTCATTGAAGAAAAGTGTCATCACTACAGAAACATCAACAGAAATGTTGCAGTCCTTCTTAGGAAAACCAAAAGAAACAGCATTCAAAATTGTACTGATACTGAGGTAATGTTGTGGACTAAACAGAATCAGCTGCTGAGAAGCCAATTTTACCAGCTGATTTTCTGACCCAGACACACGCATATGATTCCATCCCCAAAATGAAATCAGAGTTCAGTCAAGAAACTGAAGAACAGATTCAATCTCCAGAAAGAAGCCCCTTTTTGATGCATATAGAATATCAAAAAGGTGATGTTCAGACTGTGACTATAGTCTCAGTAGCAAAATTGTGCTTCAAATCATTGAGAATGCTGTTGATAAACTGGAGAAAATGGAAGAGACAGCATCTCTGTCAAGTCAGGTGTGTGAAAATAAATCTGAAATTCAGGAAAGCCTACACACTGATCAGCAGCTGCTTTCTGTGAACGTAGAGAAGTGGAGATTCTCTCATTGCCAGAGGGGGGAATTGTGGAACAAACAGCAGCCAACTGAAAGTTCTGTATGGTGATTGAAGCCATGTAATAATGCATATTTTCCCAATTTACCCTACTTTGTTCTCCCTACACAAAATCAGCACCCAGTGCCTATTCTATAGGTGAGTGTGCAAAGCTCTTTAATGCTTGCTGCATGCTGTATTTCTGAAAAACATATCCTATGTGCTTTGAGTCACAGGTTCCTTCAGGCACAAAACATAATTTAATATATAGTCAAAAATGAGTGGCTGTGAAGTGGTGCTTTAGGCTGCTTACA